TGGCCGCTTCCAGCCACCGCAACCTCGACCTGCTGGGCTCCGGCGATCCTTCTGTCTCAGCCTTTCAAGTAGCTGGAATTATAGGCATGCGCTACCACGCCCGGCTCATTTTTTGATTTATTGTAGAGATGAGGTTTCACCAAGTTGCCAAGGTGGGTCTCGAACCCGCAAGCTCAGGCAATCCACTCACCTCAGCCTCCCAAGGCGTGGGATTACAGGCTGAGCCACCGAGTCCAGCTGAGAGACCAACACTTGAGTCCAAGAGTTTGAGACCAGCCTGGACAACATAGTGAGACATTATCTCTATAAAAAAAAATCAGCCAGGCATGGTAGCACATTCCTGCAGTCCCAGCTACTTGATGGGCTGAGGTGTGATGGTGCTACTACACCTGCAGTGAGCTGTGATGGTGCCACTACACTCCAACCTGGGTGACAGAGTAAGACCCCTAACCAAAAAGAAGAAAGAAGCAAGAGAAAAAGAAAGCAGAGGAATGTAAAATCTGTTTGGAAAATTCTTCCATTGAATTATTTTATAAACAACTGAAAATCAGATGCAACACTTAGCCAAATCCTCAGTTATCCAGAAAGGCATGTTCTTAGACGTGACAAAGTCCCCGAGCATGTGGGAAAACCAAAGCTTGACAGGTAGATTCCTTTAGCTGTGCTCTGTGCATCTTCAGACTCTGACTTAGGCAGGCACACTGCACTCTGGGAAATTCCCTGAGAGCCCAAGAATGGCGTGTGTTGCTCTAGGAACTCCGGACAATGCCAGACTCACTAACCCATGCGGTGGGAGCCACCAGTGGACACCCTGATTCCTGAGGCCCCTTAAGAGAAGGAGTGGCCAGGAAATCACAGAAGAGACCCTGGAGAATCTGCATTTGAGGCCCTCTGCAGGCTCACGCAGGATCGTGCTCAGCTAGCCACGGGGTGAGACAACCAGCCACCCCCTCTTCTTTCCTGGGCAGAGGGGGCCCTGGCCCCTAGATGTGCCAGCAAATCTGTAAAGACCCAGGATTGCCAGGATTTGGGAAGGGAGGAGTGGACACAGAGCTGGGACATCCAGCCTGAAGCCTCCCAAGAGAGTGAGATCACTCCTGGAGCCAGAGACTGGCAGTTCTAAAAGGCCCATGAGTCTCCATGTCCGTCTCCCCCTGCCTAGAGGAAGTGGCTGACCTCTGTGACAAGCTTTTCACGTGAGCTCACTCCCTTCATCCTCAGAGGTCACGGCTATCCTCATCCTACAGAGGAGGAAACGGAGGCTCAGAGAGTGACATTCCTGGTCCAACGTCACATAGCCCAGAAGTGGTGGAGGCAGGATTTGAACCCAGTTCTCTGTCTGACTCCCAGAGCATGAGCTATCTCCATAGGTTGCCAGACCACAAATCTTGGTCTCCTGATCAGAGAGTCAGGAGCACAGCAAGGACAGACGCCCTCCACACTGTAGTCTGATCGCCTCGTCCTGGCAGCCCTGACCAGTGAGGCTGCCGGGTACTTACGGGCCTGCCTGCACCAGGACGGAGCCTGCCTTCTCCACACCAGTCTCCTTCAGGTTGGGGCAGGGCCCGTTGAGCTCGTGTGAGTGGCCCTGGAAGTTCTCTTGCTCAAAGATGATAATCTGCAACAGGAAGAGAGAGTCAGACTCCCGTCAAGATGGAGAGAGATGAGACAGGGCAGTGGGGATAGGAAGGAGCAAGCCCGGAGAGCCTCAGAGGATGCCGATGGGCTCCCCGCTTCCGAGTCACAAACCAAGCATGAAATCAGACAGCCCTTCTCTGCTGGTTACCAGCTGTGAGACTTTGCTCCTGCATCCCTCCTCTCTGAACCTCAATCTCCCTTATCTGTAAAATGGGAAATAAACACAGAACCTAGCTCATGGTGTAGTTAGGAGTATTCGGGGGAGCTGTGTGGTTGGTACTTAGTATTTGCTCCACTTGTGTGATATATACTTATATTGATTAAGAGGTAAGCTTCAAGGCCGGGCTCGGTGGCTCAGCCTGTAATCCCGTGCTTTGGGAGACTGAAGTGAGTGGATTACCTGAGTCCGCGGGTTCGAGACCCGCCTGGGCAACTTGGCGAGACCTCATCTCTACAATAAATCAAAAAATTAGCTGGGCGTGGTGGCGCGCGCCTGTAGTTCTAGCTACTTGGAAGGCTGAGGTGGAAGGATCGCCGGAGCCCAGCAGGTTGAGGCTGTGGTGGCCAGGAGCAGCCACTGCACTCCAGTCTGGGCAACAGAATGAGACTCCAACTCAAAAAAAAAAAGAGGTACGCTTCAGATCCCAGTGAGTAGGTGGCAGAGCTTGGAGCCCAGGCCTGTCGGATACAGCTGCAAATAAAGCTGCGCTTTGCAAACCCTAACATGTGCATGAAGCACCTGGGATCTTGATAAAATGCTGTCTCTGAGGGAGCAGGTCTGGGGTGCATCTTCAGATTCTACGTTTCCAACCAGCTCCCAGGTGATGATCGTGCCACTGGTCCAAGGACCATGTGAGGCATAGCAGGGTACTAGACTACACTGTTTGAGCTTCTCCTCCTCCCATGAGACCTGGACCGGTACCTCCACATCACCCATAAAACTACATGTACCTTGGACTTTTCTCAAAGCCCCCACACAGTTTCCAGGTCTCCCTATGACCTTCCCCTTGAAATATTTCTCACTTTGGGAGGCCGAGACAAGAGGATTGCCTGTGCCCATGGGTTCAAGACCAACCTGGGCAACATGGTGAGACCTCGTCTCTACAATAAATCAAAAAATTAGCCAGATGGAAGGATCTCCTAAGCCCAGCAGGTTGAGGCTGCGGTGGCCACTGCACTCCTCCATCCTGGGTGACAAGAGTGAGACTCCAACTCAAAAAAACTAAATTAAATTAAATTTAAAAATGAAGCTAAAAAAAATTAGCTGGGCGTGGTAGCGCACACCTGTAGTTCCAGCTACTTGGAAGTCTGAGGGAGAAGGATCACTGGAGCCCAGCAGGTGGACGCTGGGGTGGCTGTGAGCGTGCCCCTGTATTCTAGCCTGGGTGACGGAGTGAGACTCCAACTCAAAAAAAGAAATATTTCTCAAGGGGTCTTCACTCCCCCGGTCTCACCGGGTCCTCCCCTCAGCCCAGGGAAGAGGGCTGGTGACCCTCATCAGGGAAACAAGTTCTGCAAGGTGAGGGGACCACCCAGGCCCATGTCCAAGCACTGACTGGGAGGTCAGCACTCCCTTTCATGACTCCACTGGGAACGTGGGGGCAGAGCTGTTCCAGCCACACATCCCCAGGGAGCTGCCCCTGGATAAAGAGATAAGCTCAAGTCAGCAGACTCCCAGCGCGGGTGGGGACCACGACTGCAGAATCCACATGTCAGCACTGGCTGGATCAACAGGGCCCTGTCTCCCAGGCCGGGGATTAGTCACATAAAGGAAGGGAAAGGGATGCCCAACGGGGCTTAGAGGCACATTCCCGGGGCTCAGTCCAGCCTGTACAGTGGCTGACCTGGCCAGAGATGGGGGTCAGGAGATACAGGCCCTTCCGCATCCTCCGTTATGTCCACTGTGTCACCCCAGGAACCAGCTTGATGACTCTGAGCCTCAGCTACCTCAACAGCCAAATGGGAATCGGGGCTATTTTTCAGGGCTACCAAGAAGGAATTAAGAAGGTGGGAGTTAGGGACTGGTTATTGTTGCCTCGGCCTGGGAGACGAGAGCTCAGGCCATCAGCACCTAGTGTTTGCTCTGCTTGTGGGAGACATGCTTATGCTGAGTATGAGGCAGAGCTGAACTTGGAGCCCAGGCCTGTCTAGCGCAGCTGAAACGGAAGCAGTGCTTTGCCAACTCCAACATGTGCACGCAGCACCTGCAACCCTGGTAAAATGCAGCTCCAGACAGAATAGGTCTGGGGTCCCTGGTATGGGCAAGTGACCAGGGACAGCCTCTCCCTGCACTTGGATGGCTTCAGCATGCTCATTGGTTTTGTGACTGATCCATCTAACGGAGGCCAAACTCTCACATGTTCATCCTTTTCACCTGCTCTGACCCCACCTGGCAGCCGTTGGCTGCATCCGGCTCTTGAGCATGCCTGACTAGGCCACATGAAGCTCTACATCTAAAATACATATGAAAGTTTGAAGATTTTGCCTGGGGAAAAAGTGTCAACTACCTCCCTGATGATTCTTATGTTGATTATATACTAACATACTCATGCGTTGGATAGATCAGGTTTGATCAAATGTAATACGAAAAGCAATGTCATCTATTTCTTTTTGCTTTTGAAATGTGGCTGGCAGCAAATGTTAAATCCCACACATGGCTCACATTGTGTCTAGTGGACAGGGCTTCTTACTGTTTCTCAAACCCACCCGGCTCTTTCCCACCTCAGGGCCTTGGCACCGGCTGCTGCCTCTGCCTGGACGTGCCCAGTTTTTCCATGGTTGCTCCCTCTCTTGTCCCAGGTCCCTGCTCAGACATGACCTCCGCAGAGAGGCCCTCCCAGACCATCTGTGTGAACACAACTGCTCCTCGTCCACCCTGACTCTTGAGAACCCCTTACCCTATTTCGTGTTTCTCTGCAGCACTTCTCACTACTTGGAGTCGTATACTCATTAGTTTGTTTACTGTCTGTCTTTCCCCTGGAAAGGACGCTCTGTAAGGGACACATTAGATGAGCCATTCAGGAATCTGCTCAGGCTTTCCTGACCAGGGAGGCGTTGAGTCGGACAAAAAGGCAGTTCTGCATGGAATCTGTGCCCCCCGACTCCCCGGGCAGAGGGGCTCGGGCGGGCAGGAAGTGGGCGGCTGTTGCCAGAGGTTTCTGGGCATGTTGGGATGATGAGGTTTAGACATTGGGATTAGATCCCACTGCCCCGAGGAGGGCAGGAGAGCGAAAAAGCAAAGGAGACACCATTCGCTGGCATTAGGCAGACACGCTCATAGGCCAGGTGCAAGGCCGAACCCGGTTCCTCCGTCTCTTCACAACCACCCTATGCGGTAAATCTGACTCCCTCATTTTACAGAGGCGGAAACGGAGGCTCAGAGAGATCAAGTGATTGGCCCAGGCCACACAGCAGGTATGGAGCTGGGAACCATACTGCTCCGCCATCCCTTCACAAGCCCCGTCTCCCACTGGGTCTGTCCCAGCCTTGGGGAGCCCCTGGACAAGAGTGTGGGGCAGTGAGTGAGGAAGAGAAACCCAAGTCTCCAAAGTCAGAAGCTGGCACTGGGAGTATCGGCATGCCAGCCATGGGCTGGAGAGGGAAGCTTCGGAATCAGCCCTCAGTGTGTGGATGGGGGAGACTGAGTCTCAAGACAGTCAGGAGCAGAGAAGGGGAACCCCAAAAAGAAGATGCCCCATTCACTTCACAGAAGAGAAACTGAGTCTGGGAGAGGGGCAGTGCGTGTCCATCCCTTTCTCCCAAAAGGTACCCACCTTGGGGTTGAGGGACTGCGGCTTGCCCGCCTGGGTCTGGTGGTCTGAGGCCATGGTGGACTGTCCTGTGCAGGAATGACCTGGAAGACAGGGGAGGCGGCAGTGAGGACCTCTCTGGGCCCTGGGGGCCTGAGGACCACTCCCCTCTGGCCACAAACGCTCTTCGTTTCCCACTGGTTTCATCCCAGACCTGGGGTGGTCCACCGGCAGCTGCCTAAACTTCCATCCTTAGCTTCACTCCTCTGTCCCAGCCAGCTCTACTGGAGGGAAAAATGAGGTCTCCTGAAAGAGAGGCGACATGCCGGAGCTTGAAGTGGGGTCCCAATAGGGTCCCCATCACTCAGCTCCAGGCAGTGAATGCTGCACAGAGTGTAGACTGTCACCAGCACAACTCCTGCCTCTGCACAGACATTTCTCAACTTGGAGAAAATGGTGTAGAATAAAGAAAGCCCACGCCTTGACCATGTGTGGCCATGTAGTGGCCCCCAGAGCCCCTGGCCCCTTGCTCCTCTCTCCCCCTCTCCACAAGACACCTCTTCTCGTTCCAGTACCCAGAATTCTCCTCTCCGCCCCTGGTCTTATTCCCCCACATTTGTGAGTTCATCTGTTATAGAACTCAGGTTTCAGAAAGCCAAGAAATAGGTGCGTGGGTGGAAACCCAGGCACTGTGACAGGCAACTGGGGAGAGCCGCCTTAGCTGTTGAGGACATCAGAAAACTCTGGAAAGTTGTCAGCCTTTCTCCCTTCCTGCAGGAGGGACAGTCAGCCTGGGTTGTGTTTCCCCAGGAGTAAGAAAGGAAAACTGGCCTCCCTGTACAAGGATCACACTCCCTTTCAGAAGCCCTTTCCGCCAAAAGGCCAAGACTGGATGTCCCCCAGAAGGAAGAAATTCAGTTAAGTCCCCTGGGAGCCAAACTGCCACTGTCGCCAAAGAGACCAGCCCCCTAGGCTTGTCACGGTGACTGAGGTCCTGACATTACACTCCCTGGTCCTCGGTGTTCTCAGGCTACAGAAGAGGAAGCTCAACTCTTTTCGCTCAGGGGCTGGCTCTGCTGCCCACCAGAATGCAAGCCCTGGGCAGGTCACATCCTCTTTCCGGGTCTCAAGTGTCTGTGCTGCAGAATGGGGGCAGTCATGGTGTTTAATAACGTCTGTGAATGGGTTGTGAGGATCCAACTACATAATGCGTAAAACTGCAAGCCCCGGACAAGAGTCTTGGAACACACTCAGCACCGAGTCAGCTGAGTCCTTCCCACCAAGTTTTAGTGGTGTTGAAGTCACCCCTTGCTGGGAGCTCCCAAGACCCCAAGGCCGTGTCCCACCCACTAGCACTCCCCACAGTTGGGCACAAAGGGTGCCCCATAACTGTGAAACTGACTCACCAGCCTGGAAACCATGCTGAACCATCACTGGCTTGATCCTTCCAAAACCCTCAGTTACACTCTCCTCCCCAGCGGCTGGCAACAAGCGTGTGCTGAGGGTCCGTTTAATAGCAATAAAGAGTATTGCCCATGTCCCCCCTAAGACCCCGGCACTGTGCTGGAAGATACACCCACCTCATTGCTAATCCCCACGACAAAGGAGGTTTTATGATCCCCCTCCCCATTTAAAATAACAGAAAACTGAGGTCAAGAGTGTTGAAGTCTCTGCCCAAAGTCACCTTGTCGGAAAGTGACAGCACCTGGACTTGAACCCAGGACTCCCCTGCTTTCCAACAGGGATGAGGATGAGAGAAAAAAGGCAAGACAAGTAAGAGAGGCATTCTTACCAGTGACACCAGCCCCCGCGAGTGCCCGTGAAGCCTAGCTGGCGGGAGGTGGCATTTATACCTTCCCCAGGGGTGCTGGTGCCAAGATGGGTGACTGCTGCATCCCTGCGAAAAGCGGGGTGAGAATGCCGGATTAAGCTTGCACCAAAGCACGGGTCAGCAAATGCCCACAGACATTGTGTCTCTGCACAATAATGTCATTAGCTTTCAGATTCGGCCGCGCCAGGGTGGTCAGGCGGCTGGGCAAGGAGATGCCCGCTTTGCATGCATCAGCCGTCCGGCTGCCAGCACTGGGGGCATGCGGGGTTCACTGCCGCGGTCAGGCAGGTCCCGGGGCATGATGCAGAGGTAATTCTCCAAGACCGTGGGGAAAAACAAGTATAGCAGGGCGGTGTAGCCGTGCCTGGGATTCATTCATCTATCCATTATTCAGTCAACAAATATTTGTCAGGCATCCACTTGGTCCTTAGCTCTGTTCTTAGGGGACAGTGTCAGAGAGGAAACTGACCCCAGCCTGGGCCATTCAGGAAAGCTCCTGGGAGGAAGCAGAGCTCTTGGGGATGGGGAGAAGTAGCTCGGGAAACAGGGCTAGGGGAGAGTCCAAGCAGAAAGTTCCAAGTGTGCAGGAGCTGTGCGGTGCATTTAAAGAAGCCCGAGACAGGTGGCATGCAACACACAGGGCCATGTCTGGTGGCCACGGCGGGCAGGAGCATGATGGTGCAGGGCTGAGGAGGCCGGGCAAGGAGAGTGAATATACTCAGGGCCTCTGACTGTTCCTCACCTATTGTCCTAAAGCGGGGTGCTCCTAGAACCCTAGGTCCCTGAGGTCAGGAGAGGCTTCTCAGATCCCAGTGCCAGCCCCACTGCTGCCCGTGGGCACCTGGACTTCACTCACGTCCTTCAGTGCACATGCCCTCCGAGGCTTGGAAACCGGATTAAGTATGCCTGCTTCCCCCATCTCCTAGTTCCCCATTGCATACACCCATGCACATGTATGTGCATGCACACACATGAACACATGTGTAGACATGTACACATGTGCATGCACACATGACTTGCACATATACATACACACACACGTGCACACAGACTATACATATACCCTGAGCTGTGCTGTTCCTGTCTGTGGCTGTTGTCACCACTTGACAGTCTGTTGCTGATTTCTTTTCTGTCTTTCCAGTCAAAGGATATGATAAGCATCATGGGAACAGAGAAGTTGTCTACCTGGTTTGCCATGGTATCACCAGATCCCGGGGCTGACACTTGGTAGATGCTTGGATTAGATTCCCAGGACTGCTGGAACAAAGCATTACACACTGGATGGTTTATAAAAACAGAAATTTGGAATGTAAAGTGATGTGGCCACTATGGAAAACAGTATGGCAGTCTCAAAAACAAAAACAAAAACATGGAATTACCATATAATGCATCAATCCTGCTTCTGGGCATATACCCCAAAGAACCAAAAACAGGGACTTGATGAGATATTTGCACACCCATGTTCACAGCAGCGTTATTCACAGTAGCTAAAAGGTGGAACCAACCCAAATGTCCATCAACGGGTGAGTGGATAAGCAAAATGTGGCCCAGCCATACAATGGAATATTATTCGGCCTTCAAAAGACAGGAAATTCTGACACATGCTACAGGATGAGCCTTGAAAATGTTAAGCTAAGTGAAAAAAAAAAAAACAGACACAAAGGGACACATATTGTATGATTCCACTTTTGTAAGTTACGTAGAGTAGGCAAATTTACAGAGACAAAGTGGAAGAGGCTACCAGAGGCTGGGAGGAGGGCCACGGAAATGAGTGCTCAGTGGGCTCAGAGTTTCTGTCTGGGGTGATGAAGCAGTTCCAGAGACGGATGGTGGCGAGGGCTGCACAACCGTGCCACTGAACTGCACACTTAAAAATGGCTAAGATGGTTAATTTCATGTTATGCATATTTGACCACAAGAACGTCTTAAAAAAAACCCAGGAATGTACTGTTTCACAGTTCTGGAAACAAGGTGTCTGCAAACAAGGTATCAGCAGGGTCATGCCTCTCCAACGGCTCCAGGGGCAGGTCTTATCCTCTTCCTCACCTCTCCCAGCTCCTGTCATGTGCTGGCAACCCCACGTGACCCAGAGGTGTCACTTCAACCACACGACCATCTTCTCCCGGGGTCTCCACCTCATCTTCCCTCTCTGCATGGCTATCTCTGCATCTGAATTGCCCCTTTAGATGAAGACACCAGTCGTGTTGGATTAGGCCCTGAAATGACTTCACTTCAGGCCAGTTTCTTTTGTAAAGACCCATTTCCACATAAGGTCACATTCTAAGGTACTGGAGGTTAGGACTTCAGCAGATCTTTGTTTAAACACAATTCAGCCCATAATAAACCTCAATTAATATGTGTTGAACTAATATTTGATAGATTCAAGATCTGGCTGAGTCCTAATAATAAGAAAGACTTCTTAACATTCAGCTAGTAGGAGAGTTTGACACAAGGCAGGTACTGTCCATACTTTTAATCTTCCCAACAAACCCAAGAGGTGTGGCATTTTATTACATTTTATGGAAGAGAACGTTGAGGCTCAGAGAGGTTAAGCAACTTGCCCAAGATTACTTGGTGAATAGTAGGGCAGAGCTTTGTGGATGGAGCCCCTACTAGGCTCCCTGGAAGACCCTTTCCCTGCTGTCTCACTAAATACAGCCCTCACAACCATCTTTGAGGTAGGAATTATTAATATCCCCTGTTATAGATCAGTACGCTGAGGCTCACAGAGGTTAAGCAACTTGTCCAGGGCCGCATGGCCAGGAAGTGGTAGGACCAGGACTTGAACTTAAGACTCGTGTGACCTCAAGGTAGATACCCGTAATCTTTAAACTGTACTGCTTCCTACTAAACTCTGGGGATTGTAGTGAAGTTCACTCCTCCAGGCCTCAGTTTCCTCATCAGAAATGAGGTCCTTGGTCCCTGCACCTTGCATTAATCTTGTCCAGGAAGCAGCCAGGGCTCCCATGGGCTGATAGAAATGGCAAAACATAATGTAGAGAGGTTTGATCACCATCTCTATTTTTACAGAAAAGTAAACTCAGAGAGGGGCCAACCCCACTCAAAGCTTTACTCCAGGAAGCGATGGAGCTGGGGTCTGAACCCAGAGTTCAGGATGTGTAGACTCCAAAGGCCTCAGCCTCTGCGTCTTCCTTTCTGTTACCCCAGCGTCCTCACCTGCAAATGGAAGTTTCCTTCTCCATCACACTGGGAAGAACTTGACATTGTGGTCCACGGATGTCAGAGCATCATCACTATCCCCTTCGTGAGATGAACCGATTGTGTGAAGCCCTCGACAGAGGCTCTGGTCCTGGAAAGCCCTCAGTAACCATTGCTTTTACAATATACATTGTTATGACATCTGTGTGGACTGCAATATTAAAAAAAATTTTCCTTTTCATCTTCTCACTCAAAGGAGGTGTGAAGACAGAAACTGCCAGCAATCCAGGTCCTTCTCTGTACTCCCTCATTCATTCCTGCATCCTGCAAATGTGTCAGCTGTGGACGCAGTGGGAAGTGACACGGACTGTCCCTGTTGTGGTACAGTGTACAGTAATAGGCTCCCAAGATCGCAAAGTGATTTGCTTTTGACGTGACCTGGGAAATTCACCCATCTAGACGATGAGCTCCTGAAGACCTGAGCCAAGGCTCAGTTACCTCCTCTGTGTCCCTCGCAGGTGCTCAGAAAATGTGTGCTGGCAGGCTGAATTAATTAATGACAAAGACATGAGGAGTGAGGGTGTCTTAGCAAGAAGCAGACTTTATGACAAGATTTCAAGTGCAAGCGATTTATTTGGAAGGTGATTTCAGGAAGCATTAGGAAGCAGGGAGAGGGAATGAGGCAGGGAAAGGAAGGCAGCCAATTCAGGTGAACAGATTACTCCCATCTTCCTGAAATAAGGGGGAAAGCCGTGTGACTAGTTCCGGTCCTGGGGTTCTGAGCAGATGTGACTGGTGCAACTTCTAGGTGAGATCATCTTATTTCGGGAGCCAGGCTTTGCAAGAGAGGCTTTGAACCTCTCTTCTCTTGTCCTGAGAGGTAGTATTGCAAAATGCCAGAGCCTCCATCAGCCTGCGTTCCTGAGCCACTGTGCGAAGAAGCGCCCTCTGCTGGCCAGTATCAGACAGTTAGCATGAATCGTAAATAAATTTTTGTCGTTTAAAACCGTCATGAATTAGGAATGACCTGGCACCGTGGCTTATACCTATAATCCCAGCACTTTGGGAGGTTGAGACGGGAGGATTACTTGAGGCAAGGATTTAGAGACCAGCCTGGGAGACATTTCTACAAAAACACAAAACAAAATAAAAAGTAGCTGGGCGTGGTGGCATGTGCCTGTAGTCCTGGCTACTTGGGAGGCGGAGGTAGGAGTTTAAGGAGTTGAGCCCAGGAGTTCAAGGCTGCAGTGAACTATGATCACACCCCAGCACTCCAGCCTGGGGCACAGAGTGAGATTCTGTCGAGAGAGAGAGAGAGAGAGAGAGAGAGAGAGAGAGAGAGAGAGAGAAAGGGACGGAGTGGGACTCTGACTCAAAAAAGAAAAAGAATTGGGAGCTGTTTGTTGCCTCAGCAGAGCTTGACAGATACATAAAAAGAAAGGACTCGCACCATCCTTTCCACTTTATTATCTTCCTGCTCCCACGAAGAGAATGGGTCTTCGTGTTCCCCTTGGATAAGCACAGTTTAGTCCTTAGATTCAAAACAGTCAGAGCTGTAAGGAGCCTGAAGGTCAAGTTGAGAGTTCTCATCTCCATCATGAGCATCATCCCTTCTTATGACAATGCCATGTGACAGTCCTTGTATTCTCTTGAAAAAAGACTGATAATACAAGCTGGGTGTGGTGGCTTAAGTCTGTAATCCCAGCACTTTGGGAGGCGGAGGTGAGAGGATTGCCTGAGCTCAGGGGTTTGAGACCAGACTTAGCAACTTGGTGAGACCTTATCTCTACAATAATAATAATAAAAAATAGCCGAGCGTGGTAGCACATGCTGTAGTTCTGGCTACTTGGAAGGCTGAGGTGGAAGGATTGCCAGAGA